TCATCCCCGGTGATGGGCTGATCCCTGGCGGATCCCGCGCGCCATTGCGATGCGGGGATGTGCCGGGATGGGATGGGATGGGATGGGATGAGCGGACTGGAGAGGAGCTCGGAGGCCACAGTCCGACCTATAGTGAACCAGCCTCCACAAAAAACCGCTGCATTTTGGAGCGGTGTGTCGTCGCCTCCCGCCCCATTGTCCTCACCCCCTCGGTGTTTGCCAAAACGGACATCGTGTGTTTTAACGTAGACTTCAAAGGTGAGCAGAAAAGTTATGTTGTAAGTATCAAAATACTAGGAAAATCGTTTGTCCGTGCAAGCTAACAGTGCGTTAAACTTAAGAAGAGTAAATGCTTTTTTTAAAAACCAGTTCAGATATTTTAATTAAATGAAACTGGAATCGTATCCTAGAAAACGTGGAGAAGTATTAGTTGCCCCATGATCGCGTGTTATTGTTATTACCTCCCAGGCGCTGCATCTCCATAGGAGGAGCGCAGACTGCTTTGTGGTTTGGCTGAAGAGTTTAGCGTGTGTTCCCGCTTGCGCGGGCCCGGCTGCGGCGCTCCTGGGGCCGAGGAGGTTCCTCGTCCCGGCTGTTGTCTTCACTGTGGCGTAGTAGGGCGAACATGCCCTTATCTACCGCAGAGGCGAGAGCGGCCGTCGAGTGGCCGGTTAGCTCAGTTGGTTAGAGCGTGGTGCTAATAACGCCAAGGTCGCGGGTTCGATCCCCGTACGGGCCATTCGAACTTTTCTTTTTTTTCCCCGTCTCCCCAGCTTGTCCAAGCGACTCCCTCCCACCCGCCGCACACATTTCTCCTGAGAGGCTCGGTGTGACCTCTACACAAGGGCACGGCCGCGGGGCGGGGTGTGTGTGTGTGGGTCGAGCAGCCGGGTCGGCTGCAGCGCTGCCCATGCTCCTGCGGCAGATGGAGCCCGCCCGGCTCGGGCACAGCGTCCATTTCTGTTTCTGCGCGGGTGGCTGCGGCGTGCTCGGGGCACCCCTTTGGGCGCGTTTTCCACCGTGCAGGTTCCGCTACACGCACTCCCTGCAACCTGGTCGCTTGTCTTGCTCCCGAAACACTGCCCGGTAAGAGCGACTGTCGGAGCATAGAATCACCGAATGGGTCAGGTTGGAAAGGACCACAGTGGGAGACCTGGTCCCACCTCCCTGCTCAAGCAGGGTTATTCTGCACGTGGCACAAGATTGCGTCCAGATGGTTCTTGAATATCTCTAGTGAAGGAGACTCCACACTCTCTCTGGTCAACCTGTTCCAGTGCTCGGTCACTGCACAGTAAAGAAGTTCTTCCTCGTGTTCAGGTGGAACTTCCCGTGCACCAGATTCTGCCCGCTGCCTCTCGTGCTATTGCTCGGCACCACCAAGCAGAGCCCGGCTCCGTCCTCCCGGCACCCCCCCCCCCCTTTAGATATTTATACACATTAATGAGGTCCCCTTTCAGTCGCCTCTTCTCGAGGCTGGACAGGCTCAGCTCCCTCAGCCTTTTCTTGTAAGAGAGATGCTCCAGTCCTCCAGTCGTCCCCGTTGCCGTCTGCTGCACCCGCTCCAGCAGGTCCATGTCCCTCTTGTACTGACAC